TGCACAGGCAATAATACCTGCCCTCATCTAAGGAGCATATGGTCTAGGCCAGGGTAGCAATTTGTTTTCTGTAGAGGGCCAGAGAGTAAATATTTTAGCTTTGTATGCCAAGAGGCAAACTTGAGGAGGTTACGTAGGTACCTATATAACCATTTAAAATTTGACAATTGAAAAATGTAGAAGGTCATACAAAAGTAGGTGGCAGGCCAGATCTGATCTGGTGGCTATAGTTTGCTAACCTCTGCTCTAGTGGTTAAGTGGTTAAATATTCACATAAATGAGGATTTCCAGTGAGCAAATAATAAGTAAAATACTTAAGGCCTTTTTGAAGCTTAGAGAAGAGACACAAACCAATCTGGGATTTTACAAATGACTTTTCAACAGAGAGGATGCTTGAGTGAATCTTAAATATCAAGTAAATGCCATTGAGTAAATAGAGAAAGAGATAGAAAGAATATGATTCCATGAACAAAGACACAAGTTTTTTAAATCACATGACACGTGCATGTAAACTAGACTTCTCCCCATTAGCGCAAGAGTAGCACACAACACGAACAAAGTCCCCAAAACTTCCCAGCATAACTTGTCCAGCTATGCTACCTATTGAGACCATATCAACACACACCTATGAACACAGGTATTCACAGCCAGCTCAGGCTGCCATGACAAAATCCCACAGACCTGGCGGGTTAAACAACAGAAGTTTATTTTCTCACAGTCCTGGAGGCTGGAAGTCCAGGATCAAGGAGGGGGGCAGTTAGTTTCTACCAAGGTCTCCTCCTGGCTTGCAGACAGCTGCCTTTCCACGGCATCCTCAGATAGCAGAGAAGGGCATGCTCTCTGGTGACTTTTCTTGTAAGGACACCAATCCTATTGGATCAGGACCCCACCCTTAGGACCTCACTTAACCTTAATTACCTCTTTATAAAACCCATCTCCAAATACAGTCACATTGGGGGGTACAGCTTCAATGTATGAGTTTTTGTGGAGGGAACAATTCAGTCCACAGCAATAGGTGATCCAATTATGTATCATGATTTGCACATAATAATTTACTTCTATCATTTTTACTACCCCATTCAGAAACTACTGATGCTATTAGGGAAAAAATTCAACAAGCATGCTTCTCGTTTAATCAAAATAGGATTTCTCGACAAACACAGTTCTCCGGTTTTGATTAGGAAGACTCAGAATGATGGACAGTTATTAAGGCCAGGATACCAGGAAGCAAATTTGCAATACCATCACGTCCACCTACAGATTCCGCAGAACTGTCCATTATCCACATTTACTGTCATGTTGGGTTTCAGAAGGGATAAATGCTGTTGAGGTGAGTAGGTGCTGGTTTCAAAACTGGACATATTTTTCCTCTTTGTCCAGCATTTTTGTGGTAACTATATCCCTCTTTGTAAACTAAACAAAGTAATTTGTTTGATTGGTTTTTATTCTCTAACAGTTAAGACAAGGTGATACAAATAGAAAAGAAATGTTTTACATAGGAACTGTTATCTGATATTTTGGCAACCAAAAACTATTAAATTGCACCTCGAGGCTTTGTTTATACAACGAAGCTTGATCGCCTGGGGGAATTTCAAGGTTCTGATGAGCTTTCTGAATAAATACGTTACTTGTTGATGTGACAATGTGTGGATTGTGTTTTATTCAAGTTCTGTAGAAGCTGATAATCTCTCTACAGATCGGTGTTTTTGTGATAATACTCCAGATAGGCGTCCTTTATGTAAGAGAGACGGTGACAAATTCCCACTGAAGTTACTAATGTGCAATTACAAATAAAGATGATAAATTGAAATCGCATCTCCTTTTACATAAGGGGCTGGTTAAAGAAAAGCAGAGATTTACCAAAAAGTATCATTTCCCATCCCCACTATTCTTTTCAACAAACATAGTGCAGCTATCCTCTCTGTTATGGAGAAACATTACTTTACACTGAACAGCTATTAATCTCCAATGCCAGCTTCGTTCCTAAAACATGGACTAAAACCCAAAATGCACCGGTATTGTGACTGAATAAGACATGGTCTCTGCCTAGAAGTCAGAGTAAAGCAAGAAATGCATATATATGGAAGACGGTACTTAATTTTAAGAGATAATCATTGCATATACTATTGTAATAGAGATAAGAAATTCTGGTAGGTATATATGATGTCAAACTAGACAAATACAAATAACAAAGGTAAAATGATTTTCTAATTACTATGATATATAATATTGGGAACATACACACATGTACACACATGTACACACATGTACACACACATGTACACACACACACACAGCCATGTTCTCCACCCTTTTCTGGGAAAATAGGACAATTCAAGTGACTGCCTGTAAGGAAGATCCATGCAGCTACTAAAGATTATACCAGAGAAACTCTGAGGGACACTTTAATGCCAAGCTTCTTTGATTCCATGAGTCAAAGACATTCTAACAAAATAAACAGCAGAAAACGCATTGAATGCACTTTAAAAAATATTCATAGGGTGAGATTAATCCTACTTAATATCCAATGCAGGAATCCATTCACAGTGCTTCTGAAATTTCAAGTGCATCCAGATCACTTGGAAATCTCAACAAATTTGCAGACTTTAATTCAGTAAATCAGTAAATGCCTGAGATTTTGCAACAAGTTCCCTTTGCTTATCAAGGCATTCACCTACTTCCAACCCTTGTCTGGGGAAAAACAAAACCAAACAAAGATGTAACCCCCAAGTGAGGAGAGGTTCTAGGGCAGTAGTCCTCAAAAGGTCATCCACAACACCAGCAACACCAGTATCACCTGGGAACTTGCTAAAAATGCTGATTCATGGACCTCACCTAGACCTACTGAACCAGGAACTCTGGGGCTGCTGCCCAGGAGTCTGTATTTTAACGAGCCTATGACGGACACTAACGTTGCAGAACCATGATTCTCAGCACGGCTTGGGAAGGGAGTCAGTGCTGCTGAGTGAACTACAGTTTATCAAGGCTGGTGACCCTCTGAGACCATATGATGCCAGCAGATAACAGCACCACACCCCTCCCCATCAGACAAACCAGGGGGTCCTTGGACCCCACTCTCTGTTGATTGTCATTCAGAAGGTCTGGGAATCTATTACGTTGAACTTGTTTATGGGCAGGTTTTAAACTCATTGATTCGAAGACCACTTGGACTTAAAGGGGTGGGAAGGCTGACTTTTAATATTTAAACTGTAAAGTGTGAGAAATATATACTCATTAACAGACCAAACATTTCTGGAGACTATAAATGGACGTCCACTGAGGGAACAGAAAGAGGCCGATCAGAGCTGTCCCTACCTGATACCTCTTAATGTACAATAAGCAGTGATGTGACACCACCATCCCTACCCAACAAAAGCACAAATTAATTCTTATATTCAGCACATATTAATTCTTAATGTATCCCTGTGTAATGCCCAACTTTGCAGTTTTTCCCTATAAATAGTAGACAGTGTGTCTCTTAGCTCATGAATTAGCATCTTTTAAAACACAATTATCTTGTCTATCTACACTACACACTCGGCAGGTTAAACATATTCATTCTCCAGATACTTTATCCTGAAATGTGGTGGATTTTATCTCTTCCCTTCTGAATAGTCTATCAGCTCTTTGAGAATGAATGGCTCATGTGATGTTTATTTTCTTATTTGCGTCTTTGTGAAATTTACCAAAATACACAATAAACAGAGGCAACTTCTATCCTCTGGAAGAACAAATGTGATACAAACTAAACATAGAATTTTAGTCATAGTTTAAATATGATACCCTTCGTTCTGATTATTTCCAACTTGGTGATTTAAGTTTTTTGGTTGATTTTGCTTTGCTTGAATTTATCAGCTTCTTCAAACCAGTGGCTCAAATGGAACTTCTGGTCAACAAAATCTCAAAATCTCTTTTTTTTAGGTGAATGGTTTGCCAAACATATTTCTCCATACTATTTGTACAGTTAGTTTTTAACCATAAATGCTAGACGTTATACTTGTAATATTGATATTACTTTATGTCAATGTTATTTTTAAATTTCATGTTTTTTATGTAAGATTACAAATACTTTCTTGTTTCCTTTTTGCCCATCCTCCCTTTTATTGTTTGAGTGCCTGCAAACAGATATCCTCATTATTTTCACTGCCTGTATTCCAATAAAATTTTATTTACAAAAAGTGGGTAGTGGGCTGGATTTGCCCATGAATGCAGTTTGCCAACACTTGACCTAAAAAAAATTTGTTCATACATATAAAAGGAGAAAATAATCACATACTTAGTTTCTTATATTAAATTATAATTTTTATGTCAATATTATAAGCAACAATTTTATAAATGTTTAAATCCAAGGAAACCTAAATTTAAGGGAACATGAAAATTGTTTCCAAGCTATCAGGTCTGCAGTAAAGTTTAGTAACTTTTTTTTTCTTTCTTTTTTTTTGTGTGGTACGCGGGCCTCTCACCGTTGTGGCCTCTCCCGTTGCGGAGCACAGGCTCCGGACGCGCAGGCTCAGCGGCCATGGCTCACGGGCCCAGC